CACGCAGAATTTGGAATGCGAAAGAGGGCCCCTCGCAGCTTACTGTCCTGTGAAAGGGAACACGGGCCTAGATGATTTCCAACATCATGATGAGGTCTGCTTGGGGTACCCTCTACTATAATTTTCCAAGGAACGGCAAGGAACATGGGACCATAACACTGGTAGTTATGCATGGCCTAAACCCTAAACCCTAAACCTAAACCCCAAACCAGAAGCCTAGGCTTCTGCAGTATGGTGTGTCAAGTGGCTTGGGAACTTCAACCATAAAAACCGATGCGAAGTAACCAAACTGCGAGTTCTCAAGCTTACCCGGGGTTAGTAGAGAAAGCATTACATGGGGTTTTTGCAGGGATTATACTCCCTTATTTCCTACTGACCACCAGTAAGCAAGCCTAGACCCCAAACCCCTGAGTGCCCTGGAGGGGGCGGTTTGCCTTTTCTTCTAATGCACGCAGCCAAGATCCATCTTCTGTGGAGGTTGACTATGGCCAGGAGGTTTGGAAGTTGTCAGGTAGCAGGGCTCTAGGATTAGGGGGAGGGATTATTCTCGAACTTGGAGACTACTATCAGCTTCCAAGCAAAAATGCGTAGAGCCTATCACATTTCGCAGATACAAATCACCCGGTCCATTCCTAAAAACTAAGCTCATGTCTACGAACACCAGCATGTCTCCACACCTTGTAAGAGCAAGTGAGCTCAGTACAGCTCATTGGGGACTCGGAATGCTGACAACTCCCAGGTAGATGTCGGTCCCAAGTTATCTCATGGGGCCGCACTCCTTTCGAGTGCGTGATTTTGCTGCCGAGCCTACTCCTTGTGTGCGTAGTAAGAATTTAGGGGTTAAGGGTGTAGGGTCTAGGGTTTTGGGTTTAGGGATTTCAAAGCAGTGATGGGACCCCTGATGGCACAAGAAGCAGAAAAACATTGATTCTCACATGGGACTTTCACAACATAGCTTTCAGGGTTTGGTTTAGGGCCTGCATCGCCCTCAAGACGCGAAAGCATAGCCCTGCTAATGCTACTCTATACATGCCTACTTGGAGGTTCAAGGTAAGTATAAACAATATTCGCCTTTTTTTGGCTGGCATTTAAAACCCGATTAAAACCATACTAGGGAACTTACGGTGCTTATCATTGCGATAGAAGTACAATCATGGGTGGGTTATAATTCCCTGAATCTATAACCCTACACCAGAGACCCTAAACCCTCCAGGTAGGATCCCTAGCGGATCCTCTGGGTTTTGAGAACCCAAAGGCTCTCCAACACTGTCACTTTTCTCTTGTCTAGGCGGGCATGTTACCGTCTTACGAAAGACGCATGCAGCAAGCGTGTATATGTATAGAGTATATATACACATATATTCATACATATATAATTGGGGTGGGGTTCCCCAAAATTTCAGTGGTACCTTTTCTGGTGGTCTCTCTAATAAGGATTATGAATTGTAGCATCTTATGGCCTATGTTGGGATCCCCCTATTTAGGGAAATTACCATGTAAGTATAAGGAGCTAAAGGATCTTAAATGATTACAACTTGGGCTTTCCCTAACTACTCTCCGGCAGACCTTGCCGTGGCTCTTCGGATGCCTCTTTGGGGGGCTCACTTCTCTAGTACATTGAAACGGACATCCTTTCAGTTTGTGGGAGTAAAGAAGGACAACTGGTAGTGTGGGTAGTAAGATGGATACCTCTAAGTTTGTGGATGTCAACATGTAAAGCTTTCAATCCTTAGGCAACGAAGGATTGGCCACCCTTCCGTCCCAGCATGATTTGGGGAGACTGCAAGACCATTTAGGCCCTGAAAGAACGTGCGCAAACACACTTTGGAGATTAAGCAGTACAAAAGTAGAAGGGAGTCCTAGGTAGAAAAATGACATCTGCCGAGATTCTCAGCACTTCTCAACATCCAAGGGTTGCAACAGCTGCATTCAAATGTTTTACCGGGAGTAGACTGCCAAAATGCTTTAGATCTGGGCTCAGATCACCAACATCGCATGGCCCCCTCCCTGGGCCCAGCCTTTACAGTGGCCTGCTGGACCACTTCAGCGTGTGGAAGATTCCCTGATGTCCGCATTGAATACAAATAACCTGGATCGTATTTGGTCCAAAAATTTCGCTACCAGAGTGCGGTCGTGCGCTTTACACAAGGCGTACCAAGATATGCCTTGACATGCTAGCAGATTATAACCAACAAGAGCTCCCAAACAAGGACCTCAATATTTTCAGGAAAATAAGATGAACAGATGAGCGTCTTTGTAGGATTTGTCCAGAAATGGGTAAGCATATCATAAAAATCCATTGCCATGCATAATAGCAGAGGGTATAGGACATTACCTGGTTATTACCTGGGTGTTCCCTACATAGTTCCAGGGTGCTCAGCCTCACATTCACCCGAAACCTGAAAAAGGGCCCTGCGAAGATTACTGGTCTGCTAAGTTCCGACGATATGAGGTTAGATGTTAGCTGGTGGGAGGGTAGGAGTTGAAGCCTGAATACTATCGATGGACACACCTGCTCTTACCCTAAACCCCAAAATCAAACCTAAACCCTAAAGCCTGAACCCTAAACCCATAAACCCCGATCCCCCAAACTCTGCTAGTGATCCTTCACCCAGACTAGGCTTGCTCAGCCCTTTCTACAAGTACGCAAACCAGCAACCAGTTGTGGGATAGAACCCGCTGAACCCCACAGACATGAAAGCAGCACTCTGACTCTTACTAGGACCCCAGCTAAAAATTGACCCATACCCTTGGGAGAAAAGAGCGCTTCTGGGAAGGTGCAAACAGAAGCCGATAACCCGACATGCATACAGCCGAAGTAGTTCTTCTTGGTTAGAACTACAACCCACAAACTACCTGCATGAAACCACACGCAACTCAGGGAAGCTCCCGGGTGGAGGTCATGGATTGGCTGTAGCTGAATGCCATGCGCCTGGGGAAGCCTACGCCCGAAATCTCAAACACCCCATGCCTAAAGCCCTAGATCCAGAAACCCTAACCCCTAAACCGCGAGACTTAATCCCCAAACCCTGAGCCCTAAACTTTGACCATAGCCCCTGAGCCCCAATCTCCTTGCATGGTGGGAATAAGCCTTACAATTCAGAATCTGCGAGCATCATCAGGGTGTACAAGCTAGGAGCAGCTGCCACGCGGGAAGAATGCCTAATGAGCGGCTAAGCTCACCCTACGAATAATCCCCACCTTCTAATATTTAACCCCCCCCATCCCCTACTATTAAATACTCTCACTGTATTATAGTGGACCACATAATGGGAAGTATCTAATATTACGGGGAGGGGATTACCAACCATTGTCCGTTTAGCCACTGCTCGTTTTGTGAGGGAGCTGGGCTTGAGGTGCAAGTCTTGAGGTTTATAATGTCACTCTAAGGCTCCCAGTTACCTAAATCATAGGTTACAGGGCTATGTAACTATAGGGTAGATAGAACCCAGTTCACGTTATTTTAGGTAACTGGAGCCTAGGATTAGTATGTATGATTTCTTGGAGATTCATGGCTTTCATTACCTGTGTTATGTTAGGGATCCCAAAAAATCTGATTCTACATCGAGCCCTCGCTGGAATGTGTTATGTTAGGGATCCCAAAAAAATCTGATTCTACATCGAGCCCTCGCTGGAAGAACCATAAGTCCGAAGACCAAACCCTGAATCCTAAACCCCCAGGCGTGGCTGTAGCAAAGCGGCATTGCGTCAAGCCTCTACTTCAAGGGGCGGGGGACGTAGTCCGGACTCCAGCGTTACAGCTCAGGAAAAGGTGCGATGCCTGCCCCACTTGCTAATATGACCCCTAAAAACCATTATACAACTCATTCTCCATTATTCCTATACACCCCTATATAACCCATGTGATGGGACCCGAATGTTGACCGTAGCCCCTGCAAGTCAACCTGCGACCCACCTTTCTCGGCGACTACGCCCCCCGCCGCATATCAAATTCCGTGCTGCTCCGTGGAAGTTGGAGCTGTGTAAAACTTTATAAGGTATTATAAGCATTACATAGGGTCATATACGGGTTACAGAGGGGTACATGGGAATGATGGAACATTGAATGGAAACTACGAATTTAGGGCTCAAGACACACGACAGGACTGCACATCTGTGTTAATTAGCCAAAGCTGACCTGATCCAGAACTTCATTTCCACAATTCCTACGGGTTTGCTGAAAGAAAAACCGTGCAAGCCTTCTAAACGCTTTGACGCCTCATAGTATTTGCGACGATTTAGTACAGCACCTTAACCCTGAGCCCAGTATAGCGTTTCCAGCTTAGGGTTTGGGATTTAGGGTTTGGGATATAGAGTTTGGGACTTAGGGTTTGGGATTTAGGGTTTGGGACTTAGGGTTTGGGATTTAGGGTTTGGGATTTAGAGTTTGGGACTTAGGGTTTGGGACTTGGGGTTTGGGACTTAGGGTTTGGGATTTAGGGTTTTGGGACTTAGGGTTTGGGATTTAGGGTTTAGGGTTTAAGCTCCTACACAAAAGGCCCCTGCCAACTCTGCAACCTCTGCCGCTCAGGAGGCCAAGATCTTAGGAACCTCCCACCTTGGCGAAGCCGGAATTTAAACCCTCCAACCCACAAATATCCTATATTCTCAATGAAATCTCATATACCACCATGGGAATGTTTGATAAGGGAAGGGATAAGTATGGGGGGGAGGTGATTCTAGGGTTCATGCCCTGGGCTTCGTCGTTTGCACGTCTGTGTTTTGATTTTTGGGCGCTGTGCAATCTCAGTTGATTCCAAACTTGAGAGCTAAGTTTGTGTTTTTTGCTGGTCAAACCTTTTCTCCAAAGCACCACGGGCTTCAGGTTTAGAGTTTAGGACTCAGTTCCTTTTATTGCTGAAGGTTTGGAGGTTATACTGGCTTCATACATCCGGATGGGACCCCCCGTGTCAAACACGACTCAACCAACATACATCACTGCAAACTCTCCACCCCGTGCACCCCCCATATAAGCGTACATAGCATACGGCCATAGAAATTCAAGCTCCAAACGCCCCAACGTCAAGCGCGCCAAGGAGCTCGAAGGCATCGCCCAAGTCCCTACCTCCATTCTCGAGGATGGACCGCTCCGTGAGAATCATGATCTTGTCCTGGGTAAGGTGTAGAATTTAAGGATAGCGGGCTTAGGGTTTATAATGTAGACCTTCAACTTTTTGGACATCCGCAACATCCCAAAGGCAGAACATATATGCGTGCAGCTTTCTGCTATGGTGTTCTAGGCCTCTGGGGATCTTTTGTTGATTGGGGGTTTCTACCGATTCTGTAAGCCTTCTTGGATGCCAAACTTTTCTGATGACATGTTCAGATGGTCAAGGCTCCATTGAGATGGGTTTGGGCTGGATTGCCGATGATTCTGTAGGCGTTTTTCGGCCGTATAGGACTTTTAGCGAAGAACTTCCGGCTGGCTTGCTTCCAAATTGCCAGCTGACCGTAAATCTCAGAGGTTATGAGGTGAAATCTGCTGCGTTGGAATCAATAATCGGCTCGCTTGTTTCGGACGACCTTATGTGATCTAGGCAAGTCACCAGGAGAGGACAATAGGTGACCCGCCCGCTTGCAAATGAGAATAGATTGTACAGGGTTACCCGGGTTGTACGCTGGAGCGGGAGAAGGCGACGGTGAATACTAAAACTGTTCTGCATGACTCAAGTACCTTATACGGTGAGTAGTATGCTATCATTATAAGGGAAGGTCGTGCCGGATTTTTCGTATCAACCCTATGTTTTCAGGATGCGGGGCAAGCCCGATGCGTTCCGCGAGTTTCGAAAATTCTGTAGCTTGCTCCGACCCTCCTGCCTAGAGCTTCGTGTTCAGTATAAAGGCTTGGAGGCGCATTGTCTGCAGTGGGGGGCTGCGGTCGTAGGACCCCTTCGGCAAGGGGAGGGATAAAGAAACTCCTCAGCACCCCCCTTCGCAGCACCAAAATGAAGGTCTCACAAATTGCGGTTAATTCTGGCGGTGGCAAAAATGCATTCTGGTTGGCCACTGTCACAAATGGCAGAATACTTCTCAATAGCAACCGTGTGTCAATGATCTCGGTGTTCGTGTACCTCAGCTGTCAAGGCATTGGCCTCTAGGTACCAACTGCTGAGATCTTAAGCCCTGGTACCTCCAAAATATGAGTCATTACCCTCAACTTCCGGATGTTTTGAAAATTCACCCTGCAGGTCTAGGAGGCCCAGGACGGCACTCAATACCTGAGGAAATTGAGGGATCAGGACTAGGGAAACAGTCTAGAGACATAGCAAATTAGCCCTAATGAGTTTCATGAAGGATGTTTCTAGACTCCCAAGGCCAAAGGCAGAAAGCAAGCATTCCGGCTGACAAGGGATGTCACAAAAAACAGGGTTCAGGTTTTAGAGCTTGAGCTTGCAAGCCCTGAAGGTATCTAGGGACTAATCCAGCGCCCCGCAACAATTTATCCTGCCTTTCCCGGAAAAAGGCCAGAGTAGAAATGGATTCATCTACATTTTGATGGATTTTTTTGCGAGGGACATGGGCGAGAGGCGTTTGGACAATTTTGGTTTTGCAGCTGCAAGATCTAGGGTGCGCCCAGCTAGCACCCTGTCGACGGATCTACATAAAACTCCGGACCTCGACCCTCCTGGCAGCCACATTCATCAAAAAGCTTTCTAAACGGAAATCCGCGTGCTCGGGATTCAGCGGCGGGCGCCGTTGATTCACGTACTTGTTGTTGAAAGCCTCGGTCCAGTTGTTTCCGGCAATCTCGTGAGTGAGGTCCCGAGGGATAGCGCTGCCACCATGCCTTGGTTTTGATGGGTTTAGGGGTAATGGAAAAGAAAATGGATACTACTATAATGGGTTATATAGGGATTATATTGGGATAATGGAAAAGAAAATGGAAACTACTGCTTCATCATCTGAAGCTATTTGGGAGCTTTTTGAAACAGGGCCCCTAGCGACTCCAGGGATAAAGGGACATTGAGAGGAGGATGGGGTTCCTTGTTCTGGATTTTGTGACGATTCTGTGTCATTTACTTGGGATGAAAAGTTGCATCTCTGGTGAGGAGTATCATGAACTGGGGTGTGAGAGCAGGGCTCGGTCGAAAAAATGAAGCCGGTTGGGGTCAAATCTTTGTTCCGGTCAAGAGGCTAATCGGACCGACATGGGTAGTCGCAACTGTGGCTGTGAGTAGGAGAACTAGTTGTAACTTATCTAAACCATTTTCGGGTCTTTGCGGCCAAGGAGTTGTGGCCGTAGAGTTGCTACTCATGAATCCCGAACTATCCTCTGCTGTGATAGACCTTGCAGTTGCTAGCTTGAGCGTTCTAACTGGGAGATCAAAGCAACCTTGAGACACGAGCCCTCAACAATCTAAGGCAGAGTTCTGAACAGCGAAACTGATGTACGGCATGGACCCAAAAGCCTACACTTAAACCGTATGTTGCCGCTCTATACATCGATTAGTTAACACACTGCGCAGGACCAGATACATGACTCCCAGAAGCCCGGCAAGGGTGGCTGCCTTCGGGGGCATCTTGCACGGAGGGTCAGGGGTCTGAGTAAGCAGGTCTTGTGGGAGGTATGGGAAAATGGAAAAGACCATGAGTGTAGAGGGTAAGGGTTGGAAGGCCAGGGAGATGTAATAGCTTAGCACTGCAAGCCTCAAGAAGGTGATGCATACATTTACGAGGTCACCCTGCCAAGTAGGCCCAGGGCTTAGATCCCAACATACCAGAATCTTTTCTTTGGGGGAACCCCAAAGAGGGAGGACCACGCCAGAACTGCCCTTCAAAAGTGTGAAGCAAAAGAGACTATAGGACGTTGCCTGGGTGTACTTGGGCTTTTCCTGCCTGGCTTGTCATTTTCCCTCTACTTGGAAGTAGCCATGAACCTCAAGTGGGGTTAGGTGAGCTTCCAGGATATGGAGGTTTCCAGGGTCGCTTTTATGGTGACCCGATAATCAGTATTAGAATGTGTTGGTGTCGATGTTGGGGCCCCCTGCTTATGGAAACCCCAATAGCATCAACATAAAACTGTCATGGCACAATCAGACAACGGCCACAATCTAGTACAACTTTAAACGCCTCCTCACCATCCCATGCCAGCCCGGTTGAATGTGACATGGCACGACGACAAATGGATGACAAACATGTGGCACCAGGATGGCTTCAATCCAAGATGAGGGTGCAGGTTGTATTCTGGTTGGTGATGTTGTTTGTTAGCATGATATGGGTAATCTCCAAGACTTCCCATACACCCACAATAGCTTCGGATATAGGGCATGTCAAAATCATACGCGCTGACCCCTTTCTGCTCCCAACATACTGTAAGTCTCACTACCAGGACTCCTCAAAAAGATCCCTAATGTTTGGAAAGCCCTATATGACTAGAGCAACCCCGTGAGCTTGGGGTTTAGGACTTTGGGTCTAGGGTTCAGGATCAACGTCTCTGATCAGGGATTGCAGCTGCGTAGACTCGAATCATGCAATCCGGTATTGATGGGACAATTTGGTCCCTCGATCACTATCTGGGGGTGAGGTCGGGTGAGTTCGTCGTAGGCTGCCCAGACTGCAGACATGGCTCAGGCAAGAAGGTTGTAGGGAATTTTTTGGGGTCGAAATGGGGCCCTAGTTTGAAAGTTCATGGCTGTATATACTTGCCTATAAAGTAGTAGGACAGCACGGGGGTTCATTTTTTGGGCAGCTCGACATACTCCAGATCGACTTATTTCCTCCACCAAGAAGCACAAGTCCAATGATTTAAGTCCCCAAAGAAGCCCAAAAAAGGCACTGTACAAGGAGCTCTGGGCTGTAGCTTGTGTGGCAATGAAGGTTCCAAAAGAAGTCTCTGATTGGAAGTGCCAACACATGAGAACTCAGCAAGGTTCCCCCTCAAGTGGCACACATAGTGCTAAGACATATGGGGGTTTCCCAAAATTAGGGGTACCCTTTTGGGGGTCCCTATAATAAGGATTATAGTATTTTGGGGTCTATATTGGGGTCCCCATATTTTGGGAAACTACCATATAGATGGACATCCTGGCGACATCCCCATTAAAGCACGCCTGGTTGTCACAATCGAACCCTGCAGCAATAGCGATGCCCATGGTTTTCTTGAAGTCGCCGTCACCATACAGGAATGCCTGCGCAGGGCTCATGCATCATCCATGAGTTCCCATTAGCAACCCACATGATTAGCAAATCCGTGAGGGGCACTGGGGCCATATACTGCTTGTGAATCTATACGCACAAGGAAGAAGGCATCTTAAGAGAATCAATGAGCTTGTTGGCATTGCAAGGAATCTGCCTCCAAGATGGGTAATGGCTTAGGCCTACAAACAAACTGTTTCCTGCTCCACGCGACTCTACCGCACTCAAAAAGAAATCAGCGGCCTCATGGTCGCCAAGCCTACTTTAGGCTCCCGGGTAAGTATATTACGAAACCCGATGATTGCATATACTTGCAACTATAGGGGCCTGTACGATATCACGCTGGTTACAGCTTGGGCTTAGGCCTACCTGGTGAACATACAAGCGTAGGGGCCATCGCTCCGAGCGCGCCGTTGATGATGGCAGAGACAGCGCAGTTCCAGGGGATCTCGCCGCATGCGTCAGCAGGATAGTATCCTCAGCGCAAACCCTAAACCGATGTGTAGCTTTCATGCTCAGGGCTTAGGATTTACTTTCTTTTGGTTAGCTGGGAATGAAGGAAATGGAAACTACGATAATGGGTTATATAGGGACTACTATAAGGATCCATTCCTTCATTCCTAGCTAACCAAAGGTTTAGGGCTCAGATGCAATAAGCTGCTGATCATGATCTCCGTCAGCTACTGTCTTCTGATCGAAGCAGTTACTAGCATCTGCTCTTGCGAAGTCCAAGTACTTGCCTAAAACCCTAAACCTGAAACCCAGGTGTGTGTGAACCCTATGCCGTGCCTGCAAAACTTAAATCGGGAAGCCTAAATGCCTTCTTTAAACCCATCCGTTTCAGTCGAGCCACCGTACTTCCGCTTGATCAGCCTCGTTTCGCGGGAGGGGGTTGGAAGCGAGGGGGAGGTGGGAGCCTTCCTTACCAACGGCTTGTGAGGGATGTGGTCTTTTTCTTGCTGACTCGTTTTGAAAATCTTCAGCGAGTGACCCCTGAACTTCTTCCAGTATCACTTGATGACTGCTTCTCGCATGAGCTGGGGCTCTTCAAAATGATCAACGCGCCGCAAGCAGGACAAAAAAACGGTAGAGACCCCCCTGTGCACCACATCATAAAGGTGTTGCGAGTTGCGAGTATCCTGCTATTGACCAATGATGATTTCGGACTGCAGGAACCCTACCCGTGAATACTGAAAACTGCTTCACCCCTTGTTGACAAGTCTTCCCAGATTCACCTATCACACGGTTTAGGGTTGAGATTTTAAAGGAGGACGAGCTTTCATCCTGCAGACATGCAGCGTCCAAACAGCCCGCCAATCGTCTGGATGTCTCTTCTGCCACTTGCGCACATCCCGCAGTGCCCTTCGGAATGGGCTGCGCTTCGGGACCTCCAAGAATGGAGAGGGCCTAGGGTTTAAGGAGCTTAGGGTTCATGTCCCGAAGCTAGGAAGGTATGCACCGAAAAGGGGGCCCTTGATGTGTGGAAAAGCAGTTATTGTTGTGCTCAATCACCAAGCATGAACAAACATTCGAAAGCAACCCCGGAATCCTAGACTCCCAAACATGAATTTCAGGGCGTTTAGGGTCAGAGGAGAAATCTCTTCCCTGCCCTAAACAGTCAACCCAAATCCAAGGCTCATAATTTGCGGTCCTCCCTAATGCGCACACGCACACACACACAGACAAACACACCAGCGTTCGTTAGGAACCCCAACTACACACACCCAAAACCCTAAACCCTACGTTACGCACTAACCAAGACAAGCATCAAAGCCCTTAAACCCTGGTGTACCCTAAAGTCAGAGCCTTATAACCTTATAAAACTTGTGATCAAAAAGTGAGAGGCCGAGCAACGTGGGCGAAGCCTAGAGCGTAAAGGAGGTTTACCTGGATCAACAGGTTTCGTATATATAGGATTCCATAGGCTTGCGTAGGGGGATAATGTAGGAATGATGATATAGGGATTATCTAGGGACTTTACGGTGGTATGTGGGGCTTCGGATTTTGGGCTTGGGAATTCTAGGGCCCTAGGATTTAGGGATTTAGAGGCTGAAGGTTTAGCGTTAGGGCTGAGGGGTTTAGGACATCAATACAGGGGTTATTTGCGGAGGTTCCTAGAACTAGGGGTTCATGTTTTTCTTGGGGGGGGGGGTCCCTATAACGAGGATTATATATCTCTGTAGTGGGGCGACCTTTTTGGGAAACCCCCACATGGATGTTTCGGGCTTGGGGTCTGGGGCTCAAGGAGAACTAGTCAAACAGAAGCAAAAAAAGCCACTTCTACCATGATCCAGCGACATCCGTGATAAAGAACGCTGCGCTGTAGAGCGCGGCATAGAACCTGTTCAGAAGGGTGTTTAATGTTCAGGGTAGCTTCCAAAAAAGGGGTGGAGCCTGTATAGATACTAGAATCCTTACTAAAGGCCCGCCCAAAAAGTACCCCTGATTTTGGAAACCCGAAACCCTGCCCGGATTTTGGGAAACACCCAGAAAGGGCTTGTGGCTGAAGGCAAGGCATGCTGGCGACGCTGGAGGGGTTGCAGGATGCGATAATTGGGGGATGTGCCCGAAAGGTACCCTAAATTCTTAAAACCCTAAGTCCTAAACCCGAACAGCATGGCCTCTAAGTTCGTGCTGTTTGAGCTATCGTCGAAACTCCTAGCTCCCCCTTAATAACCCCCATAATATTCCCCTACATAGTCCCCCATATAACCCCCTTTTAGGAATTTAGACTAGAGTTCATTTGGATTTCCTACCTCGTTGGATGCGTGCCCCAGGAGTCGCTGGTGATGCGAGCACCCCACAGGGCGCGGCCGACCGCCTCCCAAAGAAACAACCCAGGGGTTAGAATAGGGGATGCCTCAACCCAGTTGCTATAGGAGCCCCGAATATGTACAGTGCAACCACCCTGCTACTAAGTTCCCTAAACCCTAACCCTAAATATTCAGCTCCTACTTCTGAAGGTCAAAGACTCAAAGCCCAAACCAACAACTGTTGAAAGGGAAAACAGCAAAGCTAATGGAGGGTGGTCAAAACAAAGGCCTCTTTGCTAGCGTCTCTTTCGTTCTGCGCCGTACTATACAAGTGACCTGAAACAACACGTGGTTTTGGCAACCCAGCACATTATGCATGCTCCAGCCTTGCCCATCATGCCAGGATAAATGACACTCCAGAGCTCATTCACCAGCCTGGAACATGGGTTTCAGGGTTCAGAATTCAAGGGCTTCGGGAGTCGGTGTTCTTCGGCGTGGCTGCAATTGGTAGGCAATGAATGAGTGTTGGAAGCAACTGCGCCTTTAAGACTTGTTGCTGAGATCACTGGCCCACGAAAAGGATCCTTCATTTATGGCATACCTTTTTAACCAACCAATTGGGCCCATGATTCGCAATCTCATCACTTCCATCAAACCCGTCATAAGCGAATAAATCCTAAACCCTAAAGCCAAACCCAGGCGAAGGCTCTGAGGGTCGATGGTCCACCAGTACTCATTGTTCTCCTTTGAGCCCGTGGCAGGAGGAAGCATGCCTTTGACGAAGGAGAGATTCCAGGTAATAAAAGGATCTGGCGTCATAGGCTGTGCAAGATTCCCAGTTGGAGGCTCTAGGTATGCTCTTGCGTTGTGGTTTCCGCGCATCGTGAGATGTAGAAAATTTCAGAGATGAGGAGGTGTCTGCATCAGAATTACTTGTGTACACCGTCCCTGTTTGTTGGGTCTACAAAAAGAAGTATGTTATACTATAACTGTATGGATGACGAAAACGATTTCAGGTGTGCCAAACACATGCACTACAGTGTTGTGTCCTGGAAACTGCTGCAGATTCTATGGCAGCTGCGGAACGCATACCCAAAGAAGAGCAAACGTAATCCACAACAGAAAGGCGAGATGCTGCAGCTGGGATTTTTAGGGCCCACCATAATCTGGGACATGAGGCTACAAGAGGCATATGAAAGATACCGGGGCATGCACTCAATTAGCACAGACGCCAGAGGTCTTCAGTCTCGCTATATTTTTTCTGGTTGTTTTGCTTTCCCGGTACCCTACCCCAGAACGCTTCCCCCAGGAAAACTACTTTCCCTCAAAGATTGGCGTTCACACTTCAAAGTTGGCTGGAAGTTTCTAGACCCCCTACCCTGAAGCCCCTTGTAAACCCAGTCTGTGTGCCTGCGTCCATGTTCTCGCGCGCCACGCGGTTGGCAAACCACAGCGCGTCTGAGCCATTGACCGAGATATGCACATACCTGACATTGTCAGGGCTGTAAACAACTGAACCTACTAATCCTTGGTATGCAACGAAAGGATGGATGAAGCTGGCAAGCGTATATGATATGCCCTATAGAGTCACCCAAAGAACCCACTGAACGAGAGGCAGTGTTTCTGCTCTAAGCTCAGAAGGAATGCCTGTTCTCTGGCTGTATACTGCTCCTAAATCCCGCATGCGAAGCCACTCTCGAGGTCTATACAGTCTGTACATCATCAACACAACATCCATTGCATTCTGCTGCTGAGAGGCTTCTGCCAATAAGCGGCAATCTGGGGGTAGGTCAAATCAAGCCCATGCTCCATCAGGGCATGGAGAGTGACAAACTCAACATCCGTGTCCTTGCTCACGGCAGATTAGGACCTAAAAAAGAGGCTGCCTTTTGAATGGTAGATTCAAAGGGCTGCTTAAGGGCCACTACTATCCAAATCCAAACTTCTCTTATCTGTTCATTGCAGCAGACGGATCTTCATGAAGCTTGGTGTATCTGGTGTGTTTCGACTACAGACCTAGAGCGTAGACTTAACCTCAAATGTCGTTGCTGTCTACAACTTCCAACGTCCCAACAAATGGCCAAGGCTCGTCGTCAGTGTATGCTCCCTGAAGTGAATCCAGAATCCTTAGTTTTGGGTTTAGATTCTTGACCTAGTGGCGCGTTCGGTTCAGTCAAACTCATAGACGATTAACGCTCAAACTTGCCGAAAGACGCTGCAAGTTTTCAATCCTGCGACCAACAGAGGGAATCCCAATTCAGAGGCGTGGACTGTTGATGCCTATATGCCAAAAGCAGGCATGGCTGCACCCAACATTGGCTAAACAACGGCTTTTGCTTTCGTACAACACAGCAAAACAACGGGATCAAGGGTGTTTTTCGTTTCGCTTGGATATCTGAACCATAATCTGAACTCCTAGTATCCCCCTTAATACCCCTTACAGTAGTCCCGTATCTGGTATCTACCCTTATATTACCCCCTTTAAGGAGCATCTGACAAGTGTAGATGCCCAACATCTTGCTGCTCCTCCAACAGACCTATGTAAATCCGTGCCAACAGTTGCCCAAGGTTCTGGGGAATGCATCCGCGGCCGTCATTCTCACAGGGGCCATTCACTGAAAGGTTTGCGGCCTTCGCAGTTTCATAGTCCTTGGGCTGCAGGCATCTGCAGGCATCTGTATCGCGCACTCGATCAGCAAAGCGAGTTCGCGAAAAAACGCTCACAAGGATTTGGCAGGTTCTCAGAAAGTCGGGGCCCCTTTTCGGGAGGCTCCAAACTTTAGTTAATACCTTTTGGTTAAAGGGTCAGGGTTTAGGATTAAGTGTCTAGGGTCGAGAGCCGCTTAGTTGAGGAAAATACCGGAAAATCTAAATCATATTCAGGTTTCTGAAAACACATTAGACAGAATAGATGCCTCACTCAAGGGCTATTGGGCCGTCTGGGAATCCAAACAGTCTCCACACGCAGTCACAGTGGCTAGCAGATGCGGAGCTTGCTTCCCAGAGATGCTTTTATGAATCCTCTCCAAACATCTTCTCCATGGGTTCTAATTAGTCAACTTACCACCTAGCACCCCTACTAAAAACAAATCTTAGGTGCTTGTCATAGGATTTTAGGGGAGCCCCACTAAGGGTCTAAGGTCCTAGATAAGTGCCCGAGAGTAGACTGCTCTTTGTATCAGCTGCGCAAATACTCTCATACAAGCTGGGAGTTGCACTTTGTTTAGTTATCGCCTACCATATGTGCTTGGCACTCGCCCAGACTCCCAAGCATCCCTGTAAATGGCCACCACAAAACATGCTTCCTTTTATGGGCTTCCGTGTTTATTCCGGCGAGGGCGGGAAATTCAAAGGCGCTCCCAACTTGCGGTTCGAAGAAAAAGTATTCTTCCAAATGTCAGAACGGGAACATGTCTAAAACTTTGGCTTCACACGATGCCAGCCACACTATGTATCAATAGGGGAGCCCCAGTGAGGGTACGGCTGGAAAACTGAATCAAGAAAAAACTTTGCGTAGGCCTAGGACTAGGAGGCCGGTGCAAGTTGAAACCTCCCAAACAAGCAATGGTTGCACGTCAATCTGCAATGACCTTGACCTTCTAACTCAGTTCCGATTCGCCTTTGCTGTAGTTATTACCTGGCATTCAAAGGTCTAGTTGCTCTATAGAACCTCCGGTTACTCTCTCAAACAACCGGCACCAAAGGATCAGAAACTCCTCTGCTCCATAGTTCTTTCTGAGACATGTAGTCATGGGACGCATTTTGGAGTTCTTGAGAAAGACTTTTCAAACGGCCAGAAGTGCCGTAAGTTGCTTAAACAGGGTCCATGCAGAAGCCTGAACAGTTACCAATGCCTTTTGAGGTCTATCTGAAGTCACGTGCATTCTAGTTATACAAGGAATATGGTACCACCATCTCGGCAAAGATTTAAGATCCTGTCTTGTCGATCCCTTTTTACCGCCAAGCTTTTTCGGCCAGAAGTCCCAGTAGGTTTGCGGCTCGATGGGCATCGGCTCCTCCCAATACCTCAGCAGCAGAGGGAACGAAATGGGGCCGAGGAAAGAGGCGGTTCTGGGATTTCTCGTGGGTTCATGCATGTCATTGCACGGAATAAGAAGGGCGTATGTCGCAATTCGCAGAGGGTCCCCTAGACTTCTAATTGCTGAGTCCACAAACACAAAACAAGGGACGCAGAGGCGCACCAATATGAACTTTAGTCTAAACTCCTGAAAGGCGGGTTATATACAGGGAGATAATAGGGGTCTAAACTATAGCTCATACCGCGGCGGCCTATCCAATTCGTTCTGGTCATTACTGTAAGGAGAATAGCTTCCCCCTAACCCTAAGCCCTAAAATTTGAACCCTATAACAAGAAGAGCTTCGAGTACGAAAATCGAGCAGGCTGACTGGGGAAGGCCGACCATGGTGCATTCACCAGGACACTGGATATTATATATAGTATGTATGAATATGTGTATACATGTATATGTGTGTGGTTATTGTTGCATGTATCTATCCCAGGACACTCCTGGTATCCTTAAAATAGGGGTATATGCTCCCTATTAGTGGTATATATGCGCATATAGAGGTTACGTAGATGGAAGGTCAAGGTAGAGAGAGATATGTATCTATATATATATATATAATTTTATATATATATATACACTATGTCTGGCTCAAAAAACCCCATCTATACACGGGCTCTCAGTACCCACAAAAGAATGCGGGGCACGTGAACTCGAATGGCAAGCCCATGAAGTTGCCGACCAGCTGTCCAATCCAATATCCTTGACACGTGAAGGCTTTTTTGTCGGACCTATTTTGGTCTCGCCCAGTGACAACCAAACATGTCATTCGATAAGACCAGAAGAAGTTCAACAACTGCAGGCAAGCTGGGCTGCTGTCAAAGAACTTAGGTTATGTTCCCATACTAGAGAGTCATGACAATTGCTCTATACATATATGTATTCACGGCGCACGCATATTATGCTAACTTAATCCAGGCAAGGAGGGTTTATCTTTATGTAGGGCACAGAAGTTCCTCAAGCACATCCTATATGAAGTATCTTTAAATGCTCTTGAGCCCTAAGCCCTAAACTCTGAACCCGGAACCCTGAGACGCAAAAGCAACTACAAGAACGATAATAGTAAAACAGAAGAAAAAGAAGAGTTTAGGGCCAGGGTTTAGGGCGTAGTGGTGAAGGTTGGCTACTGCCCACCCAGGAAGAGTCGGTCAAAGAGTTAATATGAGCAGGCTATACATACGTTTTCTGACTGTCCCTGTGTGGGGGGGTCGAAAAACCAACCCATGATCTTTTTGAATTGAACCCATTATGATTAGCCTAAACCCTAAAACCTATACCACAGTCCCAATCAGATTCCTGGAGAGCAGTAAAGCAACGGAATCATCCTCAGCGGCTCGCAAGGCCACGCTTAGGGTTTAGGGTTTAGGGTTTTGGGTTTAGGGTTTAGGGTTTAGGGAATTGGGGGGCCGCTTATAGACCTTCCTACCATCGATCGTCCACAAGATTTCTGCAGCTTTGCATCCGTCGATCTTGTCCCTCAGCGCCGCCTACAACGAAAGGGTGCCTAAACCCAAAACCAAAACCCCAAATCCATGGAATGGAGTGAAGCTGATGGGGTGTTAAAACATGTATACACCAAAAATACCACTTGTGATAGAGCTAGATTTTGGGTATGGGGTCTAGGATCACATCGCAAGCCTTGTCATTCTGCCAATGTGTGTTTCTTCTGCTTACACCCTTTCTTCGCGCAAATTCAATCATTGTTGAAGGGCGAGGGCCGAGCTTGATGTGTAGCCCCAGACTTCCTTGAACCTCGTGGATCCTTGAGCGGCGACAATGACAACACGTGACTCCCACGCGAGTTCTTGTAAACAATTCCCAAAGAAGGCCCCAAGGGAGCGGATTACAATGAAACAGTCATCAAGCTTCTAGCACGAAGGGGGGACCTGTGATGAAACCTTTTAACGACTTGGCGGCTTAATCCGAGCTCAACATGAATACAATCCCTAGATTTAATTCAAAGAACTTGCTTTGGACATTTCAGGGGGTCCAGGACTACATTAAAAGCAGAGTCAGTTTTCGGACAAGAAAACACTAGATTCAGAGACAATTTTTCAGGCCCTAAAAAGAAACAGAGGCATCTTCTATGGCCTTTTACTAATTTGCAATAAGTTTTGCTCTGAAAATGGGACTAGGAACGCTGATTCTGAAACCTGATTTGCTTATTAAAGTTTATTATATTAGGACTTATAGGCTGGAACATTGCTTCCTGAGCTACCCCGTACGGAGCTGGCGTGAGAGGGTCTGTCTTCATTTCTCGTGATGGGGAGAACCGGGATGGGTAGTTAGAGCGCCCAGCGAACTAGCGAACCTCCATTTAGGAGTTAGGTCTCGTGGTTGAGGGCTTCTCGTCCAAACCCTAGAAGCCCAGTGGCTTCCATTGCGAGTAATGGTGTTTACCATTCTGAGCTCCATATACATATACTTATACATATATATATATACATACATATGCCTCTCTCTCTCTCGCGCTCAGTGTATGGCCTATAGCTTAGCATTCCGGAACCTACCATACAGGCAACCGGGCTTCTGGGGAAAAGCTGTTGGTCACCTCTCTTGTGTGACCCTTGCACGCAGATGCTACCTGGGGGGATAAGGTGTGGAGGGTGGGGTTTGGGTGTCAAAATTCTGGAGTCCCTTTTGGAGGGTCCAGAATTATAGAAGCACCCCTGTCGAGGTATCAACTCGGATGACTGCAGATATCTGAGGGCCTACCATTGAGCTCTGAGCTTTGCCCAAAGTCCTCAGCCTCAAGCCTTAAACCATTCAAGCTTTACTTGCAGCCTGCCAGCATAATTTGAGAACCCGAGATCTTAAGCTAAACTCTGAACCTGAAATCCCAAATCTAGAATCTAAACCCCGCATCTGGCATGTGTACATATCTTATGTGTCTGTAGAACCATTCAGAGGAGTCCCGAAACTTCCCCAAGCGAGCGCTTACGTTGCAGACCTGGGGGACCTCAAAACCTGAACCCTAATAGAGGTCCCCAGTAACCCCTCAACAAGAATACACTTGTTCCCTAGTGTTCAGCTTTATAAGATGAACCCAAAACGAAAAGGGAAAAAAGGGTACTCCCGGGGTACCTCGTAATTTCTGTGGAACCTCTCTCCTACCCAGCCGTCCTTGGTCAGCGTCACGTTGGCAAAAGACCGAACCTAGGCCCCAAAAACACGGTTTTTCTTTCACTTGAGATGAAATCCTCTGGTGTGGGTTTGCTATGACCCTAAACCCTAAACCCTAAATCCTCAACCGTGTAGTCTCTAGAAAAGTTCACGCCAAACGGTTTAAGGCTTCAGGTGGTGTATCAAGAACATGTTCAGGTTCTAGAGGCCCGAAGAGAGTGAAGCAAATCCCTGTCAATGACTCATTCCCGGTGCCAAAGAGGGTAAAGTATGCTGGGTTCCTTCTTAAAACTTTAAACCCAGCTACTAGGATCCCTAACAGGCCAGGAAGAACTCCTTCCTGAAAAGGCTTTGGGTCTAGATCGCGAAAAAGAACTACCTGAGCACCAAAAGTATGTGGAAGAATTGCCTCTTGGGCTACTTTTACGGGTGTTGGGCTATTCTTCTACCTACTTATAGAGTTCGGGTACTTGTTCTTTGGCACTATCGCTGCTTGTATTTTCATTGCAGCCAGTTGTTTGTCTTGTGTTTCACTATGACCGATTTTCGTTGGTGGGGCGAGCGCTGGGTTCCTTTCAGAAACTTGGGTCATCGCCCTTGACAGTGGGACTATTGTAACGCCTATTACCTGTTGTGGCAACTGTTACTTACTGATGACCTACGTTAAGACACCACCCACTCATAGCGACCACCAGGGCACAAGGGTAATTATGTTGGGGCTAACCTAACTAACAACAAAGTTCCTTACATAAGCAGCCAAAGGAACGCGATAATTGTAATAACGGGTACTTTTATGATAATGATAAGAAGGATAATCAGAATAGAAAAGAAGGAGAGGAAGCCGAGGAAGCATAAAGTTACTTGCCCTAATGCCTATAGACCCCAAGCCCTAATCCCCAGCGCCCAACCCTGAATCCTAAACCCCTACATCCTCTCTCTCGAAATCCTACCTCACACGTTCTTATGCAGCAGTCATGATGCAAAGGACACACAGCTACTTTTGCATTGGTCGGACATGCCCAAGGGCAGCAGTCCCTCACCCGGGCGGGCATACAAGCTACACGAGACATGTTGAAGTATAATATAAGCTGCGTGTACATGTGAGAGTTGGGTGTACTGCCAATCCCAGCCCAAGCCGGAACACTCGGCACACCCCAAACCCTAAGCCGTGTGCCCAAGGGACGGCGCCGGGTCTCGCGCGCTCTTCGGTGGCTCGGGGAGGGCTAAGCTCGGCCTGGCAGTCTAGGCTGTATAGGGTTTTGAAGTTTTGGGTTTGGGATTTAGGGTTTGGGGTCCAAGGTTTTAAGGTTGAGGGTCTAGGATTTAGGGTTTGGGCCCCAAA